GTGCGTCATAAATTTTCTAATGATAGCCGTTTCTCTTCCTGGAAATTTTGGTTAATCAACTTACTAAATATTAGCAACTCAAATAAAAGTTATATGTAAATCCTTAATAAGAATTTAATTACAACATCAAGATATTTTCTAACAATAATTTGTATATTCATCTTAGTCTCTAATCTTATTCTCCGAATCTTTTAACTTATAATATCTTTTAATCAAACTATTCGTATTCGTTTTAGTTTTTAAACTTAATCTTAGCCTATTTTAAATTATACTATATTTTTACAAATGAATTTATTTAATCTCCACAATTTATGTCCCTTTTTATTGTTCAATTATTTAATAACTTATAATTATTCTAAAATCTAAAATATCTTATAGTCTCAATTAGATTCAGTTGGTTCCTAAGTTTACCAAGAACTCCTCTGTTAATTTCATAAATTATCACCTTACTATAAATGCTACCTTTACAATTCTTTGTTTTTCATTTTAGATAATTATATTCCTAAACAATTTTGTATCTTAATATTTTTAATTATAGTCCGAAAAAATGAGCTACTGTAAAATAATTTCTTTTATAACCTACATCTTTAAAATTTGATTTAAATAACTCTAAATATCTTTCTTGTCCAATATAAATTTTATTTTAAACTATAAATTTTCTTCTTTTTTAAAAAAAAAAATCTTTTAAATTTTAATAACATTTCTCTAAATATTTTTCTTACCTTTTTATATTTGGAATTTTTGCATTAGAATGCAGTCTGACACCACTCCTCCAGCATGTAACCATTGCCTGGCATTAGAATGAAGTTTTCCTAAAATGGCTCAGCAACGTATCCTCTCTTCGGACCACCATAAAATTGAAGGTTTGAACACATTTGTAGAAGATAAAAAAACATAGTTGAATCTAAATAAAAAAAGATAATAGATTGAATAATGAAAAGGGTATGAAGATTGAATCGAAATAAAAAAATTTATATTTTTATTTATTCATCTTCATTAATTATAAAATTTCAAATTATAAAGTAAGAATATACTAAATTAACATTATAAAAGATTATAGTAAAAACTTATAAAAAAAAATTAAAGTTAAAAATATAAAAAAAAAATAAAAAAAATTAAATAAGAATTATTTTCAAAAATTGAAAAGTATAATATATCTTTTTGCGATAAAAAAACGAATAATATATATTATAATCTTTTTATCAACATTATCATATTCATCCAAATTATAGGAAACATAAAACTTATTAATATACTCCAAAATTATGAATAAAACAAAAATATAAAAATTAGAACAATAACAACATCGTTAAACACTGTTGTAATATTAAATTAAACAAGAAATGTCTTATTCAAATTGTTTCAGATGTACTTTTAAACAAAAAAGAAATGGCTTAATAAAATTATTTCAAGATTATTTAATTTAACAGACTATGATGATTATTTAAGAAAAGATATATAATTGAGGTGAATATTAACCACTTTCTAATTTTTGGAAAGTTTTTATTTAGAATTTCATTTCGTTTTAACCCCATTTTAATTTTTTCTTTTAATTATTTTATTTTAATTTTATGCTTTACTGTACAATTTATTATGGTATAATTAATAGTTATGAATAAAGAAAACTTTAAATTAATAATATTGTTTCAAAATTGATATATTTATTATTTAATTTTATTTCTTTTTTATTTAGAAAGGCACATTTAACTTTATTTTTATATGTCTTACTGTTAATTTATTATTATACTAATTGAACTTAAAAAACTCATCACAATTGAGTATATAATAAAATATAAATAGACATAAGGAATAATATTAATAGCGCATATAAAATTTAGATATTGCAATATAACATCTAAATCATACATTACAACATATTGCACCGAAAAATCATGTCCCATATTGTCCTCAGTATATTTTTTTTATAGTTTAAATTTACTAGATTTTCTTTCACAATTTACTAATATGTTAGAAAAAATAGATTATTGCAATTTGTATGCAGGGTTGGACCAAAAGTTACAACTAGCGTTACGTTACATATACTCTCATTATAAAAATATAACAAAGAGCATCCGTAACCGTGATATTTGTTTGTGTAACTAGAGTAACATTTGCTTATCGTTACTTTTAAAACATTTTTTACGATTATTTTAGACAAAAAGGATTTTGTATATATTGTATTATAATAAATATTTATTTATTATATAAAAAAATAATTGATTAAAAAAATAATATTAAAAAGTAATATATTAGATTTTGTTAAAAATCGGTGATTATTTATTTTTATGTTGTAAAATTGTGAAAAGAAATAAAATATTTAAAGTGTGAAAAATCTATTCTCAGAATTTTATAATTCAGAGCCTTATTTTCTTTTTTTCTTGACAGTATATATAAATTTTTCTTATATAATAATGTATTAAATGTTAAAATAGATGTGTGATTGTATTAGTTAACAGAAAGCAAGAGAATCCAATAAAACTGTTAGTTCTTTATTCTCAAAACCTTCCATTGTGGGATTTAGTTATATAATGTTTTTTATTTTCTTAACAATGATGAAAGCCATGGAAAAGTTTCAGCATAGGAAAACGATTATAGTTATTTTGATAATAATAAATTTTATAGGATAAATTGTAAAAACACATTATTTAAAGTTTCATTTAAAAAGATTATTATTCTTTGTTATAACATTATACATTATATTAATATACAAGACAAAACCGATAAAAATGATTTTTTTACTTCCACAATTGTAGTCTACAAAGATAAATTCAAAGAATCGTATATATCGATCCATCATTTGGTATCTATACAGCATAAATATTCAATAATATAAATATTTATTCATTACAATACATATTTACCCCTATTTTGATTTGCAAAATTGATTAGAAGAACAAATAGGAGACGAAAATAATGTTTTATTTGAAAAATTAGTACTATATCGCATGTTATAAAATGATAACTTTTGATTTGTAAAAAAATAAACAATATAATATTAATAAATTAATTTTGGTTTTTTATTATATTGCTTTTTATTTTAATTTTACAAAATGAATCAATGAAATTCATTATCGCATTTTTCTATTTCATTTAATCTTAACTTAAATTATGTAACGATTTATGTAATTGTTACATGTTTTTTTTAAGTAGATGGTAATTTAGCCGTTATATTTCATAACGGTAGATGTTGACTTTTATTAAATAACATGCCCAATCTTCGTTATGTGATATCATAACATCAAATTATTGATTTTGCTTGGTTTGATTTATTTTATCTTCTATTATTACAACGTTTATTAGACTACTCATTATCACAAATTATATCATCAGTATATTCATTAACTGACTATTAAATCCTTATAAATACGGGCAAATGAAGGCAATTCATGACATAATTTCTTACTGAATACATTTTCTAATTGTCAAACTTTCATAGGAGTAGCTAGGATTTTCCTAAGGAGAGGAGGGGGGGGGATAAAAAATTTATCGGGCCTTCCCCCCAGACCCCGGGTTTCCTTAATCTATATATAGTTATAAAATATTTTTACAAGATAGGAGGTATATTTTAATTAAAAAACTATATTATCTTTATTTAAAATATATGAAATTGGTTAAGAGATTATATCAAAAAATAAGCCAGGAACAAATAGAAAATATATTATTATTAATACAAAAACGTGGTATTTTCTTTTAGAATTTGATTATTAATTAATTATAGAATTAACTGGTGTTAATTACTGATATTTAGAGCGCTAAACCATTTAATCTATGAGGTAGTATTTCGCAGATATAATATTTTTTAATATAGTTTTTAATTTTATATATATTGGGAATAAATAAGTTATCACTTCTCAAAAATTTTGAAAATGTCGAGTAGAGCACTCCAATTCTAGACCGACGATTTGATAATCGAAATAAAGGAAGTAATTAAAAATAACTTTTAATATATAAAATATATTTTTTCTGATGGGCTTCTTTTATCTATTTTTCCACAAATAAGCCTCAAAATGCCCACATGGTCTTAAGGCCGCCCCTGTGTATATGGTTGAACTATATTTTAATTCGGTGGCCTATGGCAACTCTTAATGTTCATCTGATTATAGGTTAGTTACGACTTGGTAATGCTTCCAACCAGGAGTGTCATTAGCCTTTACAATCTCAGAGGGCTCAAAAAACTTTTTAGCTAACATTGTCCAAAATTATCAAAATAACATTTGATATAATAAAAAAAAACACAATTTTGTGGTATACTTAAAATCTTTTAAAGGAATCGAGCCCCTGCCTACTCCCAATGAAGTATCTGATTCCAGCCATTCATAACCAGTGGTACAATCAGCATTTTGTAATAGTATATTCCAAAGAAGGGGTTATGAGAGTATTTCAATTGTTTTTAAATAAAAGGTTCAAAAATTGATTGATGGTTTAAAACTGTGGTTAAAACACCATCAGGTAAAGCGACAGATATCCAAGCAGTCAAAGCCAAATTTAAAAGGTAATTATTAAGAGTGATAAAAGAAAACATTTTGGCTTTGTATATGACAAACATGATGCCAAAATGAAGAAAGAGATATAAGATTCAATGGATATATAATCTAAACCTCCCATTTTCGAGGATAATTGTGAGAAATCCCAGTTAAAATCCTCCAATTTAATATTTAAAATATTATATAATATATTTCTAAAAAATTCATAAAAATTAATAATTTATTAATTTAAAAAAAGGAAAAAGATCTAAAAATGTGAAAAATTTTTGTTAAAAATTAATATTTTTTTGAAAGAAAAAAACTTTGGTATGAAGTTTCTTTTAAAATATAAGTCCTAATAAGTCTTTATATTTTGAATCAACATCTCATAGTTAGAAAACTGCTTAAAGATGAACCAAGAAAATTAATTTCACTTTCTTTAGAGATTTTAAACTAATGGACTTTGAGGGAATTTGAATTTAAAAAGTTTTAATATTTTGCAATGATTTCTATAGATTTTTATGTTTCGATATTTTGCGTATTCTTATGAATTATTCATACACACTTGATGATTTTAAAGAGGAACCTTTGTATCGAGATCGCAAAGATTGGGAAGATGTTAGACCACTTTCCCAAAATACAGATGATATTAATGTAGTTTCTATTCAATATTCAGAAAAATGTAATATTATAATATTGAATATTTTACGTAAATTTTATAGTTAAAGATGCATATGATTATTTAAGAGCTCTATTGGTTAAAAATGAAATTAGTAAAAGGTCATTATATTTAACTAGAGATTGTGTGTTACTGAATCCTGCTAATTATACCGTTTGGTATTTTATAATTTGTTAAATATAAAATTTTCTAAAATTAGGCATTATAGAAGGAAATTGTTAATTGGATTAAATGAGGACTGGGAAAAAGAATTAGAGTTTACTGCATATTTATTAGAAAATAACAGTAAAAACTATCAATTATGGTATTTAAATTGATTTTACATTAATAATTTTATTTATTAAGGCATCACAGGAGCATTGTTGTTCAGAAATTAGATGATGCTTCTAAAGAATTAAGCTTTACACATCTAATATTTAGGGATGATCCAAAAAATTATCATGCCTGGCAACATCGGTTTTAGCATTTTTAATATTTAATAGCGTTGTTAAAAAGCCCGATTCTGGTCAATTTTAAAAAAAGGCCCGATTAAGATTAATTTAATTGGGCCATTTTGAAAAATCGACCAGAATCGGGGTTTTTAACAACACTAATATTTAATATATTAATTTTTTATCTCAAAAATTGCAAAATCATCTCACTAAGATAAAAAAAATTGACCAAAAGGGTGAAGTGTTCATAAAAACAAAGGAAAGGAATTAATGAAAAGTTGAAGGGTAGTTCATGTCAAATGAGCAAAAATTAAGAAATTTGTATCACCCTTTATGATAAAATTTTGTATGAGAGATTATGGCTAGAATAAAACTAGGTTTTAGCTCTTGTTAACTTTTATTTAAACAATAAATCAAATATGCAAAGAATTTTAATTTCATTCAGTTTAGCAAATAAAATAATCAAGCAGAGGGCACTTATCTCTTTAAATATTTTTTTTTGAAATAGACTTGAATGTGTCAAAATTTTAAGCCCTGATTCAAAATTTAAAGTAATTTCTATTTTCAAACTTCGCTGGGTTGGATTTTTTGAAACATTATTTTAAATATTTTTGGATTTTGTAAATTAGTTGTAAGAATTATTCAAAATATAAGCAATAAATGAATTTTAAATGATCCATTTAATAATTAATTGATAATTTATAAAAAAAAATGACTACCCAAGCTAAGAATTGGGTATTGGCTAGATCAAATATGACATATACTATGTGTTTATGAGATATACCAAAATCATTATCTATCTGAGAAAATTAATGACTGGACCAGGTGACCCATTATAAAATTACAATTATTACAAATTATATTGAGTTGCTATTTGGGTGAATATGATTATTGGCTTGTTTTTAATTCAAAAACTATGATATATTTTATCAGAATGGCATATTATATTTCCTTTAACCAATGGGTATCTGTCATTAGGACTTTCCTAGTAATAATAAGCTATTGAAGATTTCATTTCTCTTGAATTAGTTCATTATTATTTGGTCACACATTTATTGCTCCTTAGAGGCCCATGAAAATAACAATCGATTCTAATTATGGTATTAATCATATTCTGTTATTCATATTTGTACAAATGTAAAATCATTCATTTGATATGTCAAATATTTGATTTGATTCAAAAATAATTTTTTTTCTAAAGTTTATAAAAAATGGATTAAATTTTGCAAAATAATTATGAATATGCAAATTTCTTAAATTTTAGAATCACACTTTTGGATTTTACAGATTTAATTGTCATCCACATATTAATATTTGAAAATAACTCAAAATATAATCTGATAATTTCATATTGTTATCCAGAGTTGTTAATCGCTACTTTTAAAACTAGGGTGCTACCGCTATCGCTATTTATCATAAAAATTAGTGCCCTAACCGCTATCACTATTTGTCAAAAAATAGCGCGCTATTAGCTACTATTTTTTAAAAGTAGCTTTAGCTATTTATAAAAAAAATTTAGAAAAAAATTTGTTTTATTTTTTGCTTATAATGTTATTGTATAGTAAATATATAAAAATCATCATTTATAAATATTAAAATATAGTTAGTTTTGATTATAAAAAATTTTATGTAATAAAAATAAATATTTATGGTAATTTGTTGCATTTTATAAGTTTTTATCTTGTGTTGTCTAACTATCTGCTGTAGTATATATATAATGTTCTCTGATAACTCTACTATTAGAGCATCCTTCATCACTTTAAAGTTATCTGCTATTTTATTCATTAGTGTCTGGTGACTTAAAATTGTTTTACCAGTGGATAGATTTTTAATCATCATGGTAAATGATGGATTATCAACCAAAGACATTGGTTGAATTGTATCAATTATAAAATCAACAATAACTATCAGCCAATTTCTGAGAAATATTGGCATTTGTATTAGGGTCATTCCATGACAAATCAATCACGATTCGGCCGACCACCTTCGATTTTTTTAAAATTTGGTAAGCAAAGAAAGATCAATGTAACTAAGAAATAGCCAAAATTTTAGCCTCCTAACATTTATATTTTTGAAGATATTAGGGTTCAAAGTGGCAAAAATGACGTATTTTTACCATTATCTGCCTTCATTCAATTAAGCATATCCTAAAAACTACATAATTGTAATTAACAAATTTAATATCAAAATTACGTACAAAGATTCTATTTTTAGATAAAAAAATTTTTAGATTTTTTTTCCAATTGGTCGTATTATTTCCAAAAAATCGTTTTTAGTCCTTATATATTAAATAAAATGGCCGGAAATTGGTAAAAAATTATTTTTTTTTATCTAAAAGTAGAATCTTTGTACGTAATTTTGATATTAAATTCGTTATTAACAATTATGTAGTTTTTAAGATATGCTTAATTGAATGAAGGCAGATAATGGGAAAAAACGTCATTTTTGCCACTTTGAACCCTAATATCTTCAAAAATATAAATGTTAGGAGGCTAAAATTTTGGCTATTTCTTAGTTACATTGACCTTTATTTGCTTACCAAATTTTAAAAAAATCAAAATCAATTTGGTTTGAATTGAATTAGTCTTTTTGGATTTAGAGTCGCCTATACCAAAATTATTTAGATGTTTCTCCATTTCCTTAAAACTATTGGCATGAACAGTCTTATAAAATAAATACTATGAGAATGTAAAAATGACAATTTACCTTTAGGTGTTTCTTGAGGTTATAACTGTGATTTGGGAAATATTTTTTTTACATTTTAAACAAATAAATTTGAAGCTGATTTTGGTTTTTATATTTATTTTAAAAAATTTTCAAATCTAGAGAATGGGAAATTTGTATTAAAGCTATTAAGAACATTTTCTTCCCTTATATCTTCCATTTCATTAATATCATTGTCTGAATCACTTTTAACGATTTGGATATCCTTATGCGATGACAATTTAAATTATTAACACATGATTTAGGTTTATTATACAAATGAAAATATAAATTACAAATTGAAAATATATTTCAATTTCAAAATAAAATAATAAATCATAAAAATTATAATTAATTATGATATTATATTTAAATTTTCATGTTTATACTTACCTTCATTATATTTTTTGAAAGTAGCTAAATAGCGCGCTAATTAGGTACAAAAAAAGTAGCGCTCTAAAAAAATAAATAATTACAAAAAAGTAGCCACTATTAGCTATAGCTACCAAAAAAGATAGCGCGCTAAGTAGCTCGCTACTTTAACAACTCTGTTGTTATCCAATGTTCTTAAAAAGCCCTATTGGAGTCGATTTTTAGAAATGGCTTAATTAAGATTCTAGCCAAAATAATATTAGGTAAACCTTGAATATTTTGGCTAAAATCTTATTTGGGCTGTTATTAAAAATTGACCCAAATCAGGCTTTTTAACAACATTTTTGTGTCCAAACAAAATTTTGACAAAAACACGATTTTTAGAATTTATATAAATGTTTATCTAAGATTTTTCTATATTCTAATTATAATAATACTTTATAAAATACACACGATGTTCAAATTTTTTATATTTTCATGATCACATTATAAACATTGAATATTAAATAAAATACAGAATAATATATTTATGCTGACCCAAACAGTCTTAAATGAATTATTCGTTATTCATGATTTGATTCTTATTTTACTAATACCATAATTATTTAATTAAATATTTTGAATTGAATATGGATAATGAAGAAAATACAATCAAATTATTTAAAATTAATTGCACTATATGAAATTTGTAAATATTTTTTTATATTCAGAATTTTTCATAAATATTTTATTTTTTTTTGTTTGTAAGTAATCCTAGTGTTATTTTTTACTTTATTTCCTTCTGCATATTTTTTTTATAATGGTGAACTAAAACTTATAAAAATTAAAAAGAATTGAACAAAGTAAAAATATTGAATTGAATATGCATAATAATTTAATTAATTTTTTAAATAATATTACGCCTTTATATGAATTGATTTATTCAGCTGTTTCTTAAAATGTTTTATTAATATATTTTCTTTTATTGAATAATACCTGAATCTGGAATTTAAGAATATGATTAAGATAAGCTTTTACAATTATTTAATTTTTAATATATTCAGAATTTGTAGTATTGACATGGATTTGGGTTCTTGATGAAAATAATAAAAAAGCCAAGCCTCATTATCATACAGATAAACCACATTAAAATCAATACCTTCTGATAAGTTTGAAGCTGAACTGATGTAAGATGAAAAAATTCTGCTTATGGAGTTATTATGTTTATGATATGCTAAGACAGAAACAGCAAAGTGTAAATAGAAATTAATGTAGGAAAAAAACGACTTCTGTTCTAATCAATCTTAATAAAAGATATTATCACAAAATTTGCAGCAATAAATATATAGATAATTATTTTAATGATTTATCAAACACGAATAATATCAAGCATTATTTTATTAAAATTTTTGTTCAAATCAAATATACAATTCAAAATTCTTACTACTATTGATTAAATCCCATTATTGCATCAATTAACCTATATACCAACGAAACTTATAATAACGAAAGCGAAAATAATTAATAATACAAAAAGCCAAATTAATTTTACAATATATATGGTATAATCAGGCCCTACGAATACCATTTTTAGGTTAAAACTACTACAGGATAAGTGGTTCGCAGGAATTCAGTTATATTTATATATGACGATTTAGTAAACCTGCCCTTTATTAATTAAAAATGCGAGCTTAGGTCACTTGTTATCAGATATTTTGCCATTTATTGACTCGCATTCTGGTGAAAAAATATATGGAAGATTTTTTCAAATTATAAACAATGTAGTGCAATAAATTTTAAAGGAATTGGATAGGCAATTGTGAAAATTAAGTATCTTAATTAGGACAATCCTTAAATTTTTTATCAAAACGAATATTATGAAAAACATGTGCTCATCATTAATTTCGCCAATTAAATAAATTAAAATTAGACCCTATTCCTATTATAGTTGAGTAATTACGAGTGTTGTAA